GTCTGCCAGCCTCAGGCTGTGCAGGTCTGCTGGCTTGCAGAGCGGCGAGGAGACAAAGTGTTTTGGTTTTATGGTGATACGAGAGCCCAAATTGTTTCCAGACTCCCGAGAATGTGAAACAGGATGATGTGAAAAACATAAGGTGGCTGCAGCTTGGAGTGCTTTCTGTGCTCCTCTGGATAAATGGAGCAGAAAAGTCTCCCAGCTTCTCTTGGAGACATCAGAGGCATCGTTCTGTTCTGTAGTGACTGCCCTGTCGTAGCTCCAACGCCGAGTGCCGTGCAGGCGCAGAATGACGGATCACCCGCGGTGTCGGGCTTGGTTCCAGGTCCGTGCCGTAGGTACTGGTGCAAAAAAGTTTATGCATGTGTTCTCATCCCTTTTTTTCGCAGAGAGATTATTAAATAGCAAAGTAACATAAAATGCATCGGTTTTGTGAAGCAAATTGATAAAACTTCACACACAAAAAAAGCTTTTGATTTTGCTTTTATAAATAAATGGAAGGAGAGAAATAAAATAGCACTTAATTTCTAGCAAACTGGATCCAAAGCTGATTCTGACTCTTGATTTTTCTTTTGCCTCTGCTCCAAGCCAGCAACTCGTATTCTGGTGCAACCAGAGTATTTTAATTGCCCGCCTCCGTGTCCCTCTTCTCTGCCACTTCCTAATCGTTAATTATGTGGCCTTCCGTGGTTAGCAATTAATCAGAAGATGCGCTGGGACTGGGGGAGATGGCAGGGCCGGTTCCTCGTGTACCCTGGCTTCGCGCCTGCGAGCGGCCCTGGGCCAGCCTCCGCCTGCCCATCCTGCATCCCATCTCCGGTTCCAGCGACGTCCCGCTGGGTCCGGCCCCGCGCGCCGCTCTGGGCCAAACGGGTGGAAGCTTCCAGACTTTTTGCGAAGGTGCCTTGCATCGAAAGCAGACCTGGTGTCTTCTGTGCCGTGATGGGTACAGCACACATTTCATTTTCTTCAGCTCTCTAGGTGAGAGCTAACAAATGATTTTCGCTCACTGGCAGCTCGCTGGAGCGTGCAGGGGAATTCAGGCTGGTTTGCCCTTTCCCCATACCCCAGTGGCAGAGCTGCTCGGGTTTTCCCTTGCTTTCCTTGTCTCAGGTTCTCGTGTGTTTTGCTGTTCCTACAGATTTGTCTCCTTTCCCTTTCCTTGCGACGGATCCAGCTCCTCACTGGAAGACGGTGCGGTTGAGTTTTAGCAGCACACTGCTGAGAAACTTCTCGTTCTCGGGTCCGGCCGTACTTCCAGCTGGCAGAACGAAGCTGCGGTAGTCAGAAAACCTTGGAGTGGCTCATCAGTGGTGCTTGAGGTTCTGGGCAGGAGGAGACTGCTGGTAGGGCTGGCTGGCTTGGCAGGCACCCTGGATGTTGTCTCCTTATTGGCTTTCCCATGGCTTCTCTCGGGTGCATTCCTGATGGGCTCTGTTCGTGTAGTGGTACCCCAAAATCGGTCTCTGCAGCTCTTGGAGACCCCCACGGCACCGCAGTCTGCGGAGGCACCAGCTCTTTGCAGTGGTGCCCAGTGACAGGACAAGGGGCAACGGGCACAAACTGAGGCACAGGAAGTTCCGTCTGAACATGAGGAAGAACTTCTTCCCTCTGAGGGTGACGGAGCACTGGAACAGGCTGCCCAGGGAGGTTGTGGAGTCTCCTTCTCTGGAGATATTCAAGACCCGCCTGGACAAGATCCTGTGCAGCCTACTGTAGGTGACCCTGCTTCGGCAGGAGGGTTGGACTAGATG